AAGTATATATGTTTTATCAGACAATATTAAACAGCTAATTTTCTCATTGCACAATGCACGGCGTTTCCATATCAATCTTATTTAACAACCAGGTGTCCTATAAGAGGTAAAATTATAAAGTATGATAACATGATAAAGCCTCAACCCCAATTGTTTCAAGTTGCCCTAGTTAACAGGTTCAGGAAGTTAAAAATCACCCTTAAAAATATATCGTCGAGACATTGGACGCGGTGGCTCAGTGAGTTAAACGCTTGCTTGCTAACCTAAAGGTCCAGGGATCAATCCCGGAATAGGTCGAGATAATACCTTCGGATTTTTCAACCCGGTTTCCCCCTGTCAGTGGTAAGAGGGGCTGACATGGGAAAAGCGTCTAGTCGTTCGAATAGAACAATAAACCAAGGCTCTGTGTGCTACAGTCTGTGTACGTTAAAGGTAAACTGTATTTAAAACGTGGATAACCGAACGCATGACTAAAAATAAAAAAAGTTCGTTTCGCAGTATTGGTTCGAACATCTTTACAGGGCATGTTTTCTTTTACACCTGATGTCAATTCCTTCGAAGTCGATATGGCTAACACTGTTTATTTAGTATCAAAGTTTGTCAACTCAGTATCCCTTTCGAAATCTACATATATTGACAATATTGTAATATTTATCTCGGACACTTGGAAGAATCCAGATGATTTCAATCAGACCAGGAAGTTATTGTTAAGAATTATTAAGATCTTATCAACCAACAAGAGTTTTATGATATCATTCACCAATCTTATCTCACTATCATTAGGCTCGATATTCAGATTGAAAATTAGAGAAAGAATATTAAATATTTATATCACCAATATTGAGTAATATAATGAGATCAATAAATTTTTTATAGATAAGAATTAGATTAGAATTAAATTGGTATATCAGGTATATTAGTTAGAAGTATTAAAACAGAACCTGAAACATGTTGTTCTTTGTCTTGGAGTAAAATCTGTAACTAGACAGATGGAAAGATCACGTGGTGGCTTTGCCTTTATTAGCCTGATTAAAATGTTTTAAATTGAATGATTGAATACTCATTATATCTGATTACCATCGTTATATTTCCTTCATCGCTCATTTCATTGGTTGGCATGTATGTAGTGACCTTGGCCAGTGCTTTAATGACAAATGTTTAAATACCACAGACAGTTTTGCACTGTCAGTAAATTAACAACACGTTTTGTGAATTATTCAAGGACGAGATGGTTATCGTAAATTTTTTACTCGGGTGTGTCAATGCACAGAGTCTCTATTTAGAATGTATATTTTTATCATACATGTATGCCTAGAGTTTATTCTCGGAAAGATACTCGCTTAATTCACTACGACAGTTCAACCGATAAATCAAAGTTAGGTCAGCTCAACATCTAACCACACCCAAACCCTATCTCTATTCATCATTGTACCCATCTTCGCGTCTTCACAATGTCAAACTATATACATTGATATTGTAATAGCCACTTTGCCTGCATCATGAAATGTTATAAATACAGTCAATCAGAATCATAATAAGACACAGTTCGTCATAGTTTGACACTGTGAAGACGCCATCGTATCTTGTCGTTCGGATGGGACTTTAAGACCCCATGTGCCACATATTAGCGCTAGGTTGTTATCTTCTAACATTGATTCTAGGACATCCTAAGGCTAAGATCGGTTCGAGAATACGGGGCCATGTTTTCAGAGTCCTAGGTTTTTACCTTTAAAAGGTATCTATGGGTTACCGTTAGTTTGGAATTTGAAAGATGTTTTCAAGCCTGTACCTAATCATTGGAGACACTTTATCGCTCTTTGCATCATTGCCTCTGTGTGCATGTATTTTATAATGCTTGAACATTCAGAAAACAAACGTTTCCAATATACCTGTATGGCTTTCAGACAATTAAAATTTCATATAATTTCGTTTCACCTTTTTGAAACATTCCGTAATTTGAACGTTAGGTTATACCCGGGGAATAACATCGGAAACAAAAGATGAAAATAAAAGAGAAATAATCGATTAGAACGACTGGAAGCCAGTCTAGCGATTCTTTTACTGAAACTTGTTTACGAAAGATCACAGAATTCTGACTGAAAATGTTCATGATACAAATCGATATGTGTCTTCGAAACACATAAGAAGTTTACAAATGACCCCCTCTATACGCTTTAATATTCATATAATTCTAAATAAACATCAATTAATACTGATCAAACTTCGCATTATTTCCTGGTGTTTGGTAAACAGTTATAATCTGAAGTATCAAATTCCACACCGGAAGTACAAACGTTACTGTTATTGCGGACCAAAATGGAAACGATTCACGTCAACAGAGCTGTAATAAAAGTCAATATAATTAACGTATAGTTTTCAAATACTATCGATTATGCATTTATACAACTCAATGTAATCAAAGCATTAAACTTTAAAAATAAATCGATCTGAGTGAATAAACATTGGTAGATAATGTCGTTGTGACCAACTCAAACAAATGATGTTAGTAAACCTGGAATTTTCTTTCAATAAATCAATATATTTTGTTCAGTTTGTGAAAGTGTACAAGGTTAATTAACAGATATTTTGGTCTGCATTGTGCATAGAATATGTTTGCTCGATTATAACCTGAAATTGCCTTTGAATATTAAACAGCCTGTTTTAGATGTGCAAGATACGGTTGAAGGATACATATTTCTTATGGAGTCTGCATGGAATCATCTTACTTGCTGAAATGAAATAAATGCGTCCTACTTTCCTCCACCTGAATAAGTTCACGAACACAGGCAACGCCATGCAGTGTTCTGTGATAGACATCTGTAGAGCAGTGGTTTCCAACCTTTCTCAGCCTTCAATCACCTGGACCTTTCACACCCCAAAAATTTGTGTCATCCACATTTCCAGCATGTGATGATGTGAGGTGCTCTCTCTATTCAAAATAAATTCTTCTCCTATACCAATTGGGGTTGTAAAGGCAGCCACGAGCCTGCATTGGCAATCAGTCTTTTGACTGCAAAAATGGGAGATTCTTAGTAAGAACGAATTAAAGGCACGCAGTCATCTAAATTGTTGCTTTCCGAGCTAAAAGATCCACCAGTTCTATCAGCTGGTAAAGCAAATTCTATAACAATTTGTTAAATAGATGGCTAAGGATAAATGAATTATTCTTAAGAATGAAAGAGATATAGTCGATATTAATATGGTACGGGCTCAGATAGAGTTTTATATCAACCGGTAAAGAAGTCGTTTTTTTATAAGTTTTGATATTTTGTGTAGTCAAGGGGTCAGACCCTACTCTGAAGTGGCGATATTAGAAATAAAAACTAATGAAAAAAGCAAATATATTTAGACGGCTAAATCCCTTGATTAAAACATGGCAATAAGTAAAAAATCAACGCTATTAAAACACACCCTGATATTGGACCAACAATCATGAGGATAATATAATGTGTTTATGAATGAGCTAGCCAATGGTCAGGGATAATAAAATTATTCCTATTATTTTTGTTAAGTGGTAGAAGTTACAGTCAATAACTCTAGACTATAGTACAGGTATAGATAGCAATTACTGCCGTAAATAACCTTTAGATAGGATTTCAATTGATATATATTTTATTAAACTGACATTTTGGCCCGAATTTCTTTCCATTTGATTAAAAAATATTTATATCTTGGTTGAGAAGCAGAGTAAAAATTGATTGTTATAATGAACCAATATGACAAACAGGTACAGGAAAATGAAGATATAAAACAAGAAACATTTTGTCTCTTGACAATGACGTAACATTAGTAACATAACTATGTGAACAAAATAAAATATAATTTTTACACAATTTTTGTTATCTCGAAGTTGGCATAATTGATTTTCATTAAACGTTCCAACCATGTATTTAAGTAAGATTCAGAATGGATATTGTATAAGAAGTTGAAGAAATGTAAGTTGAAATCCACCACTTTCTTTTAAAGAATAATATAAGCAGTTTTACACCGAGTGACCAGTGGTCATAACAACACGTGACCCCAACAAACCGGTAGTCCATAATATTGATACTGTAACTAATGACAACAAATTTAATAGGATATCCCGATTAGTATTGTCCGAAGTTTTCCACCATTTGATAAATTGATAATATTATACTATACGCGAAGCCAACTAACTGTTCTATGATGTGGGTCTACACTTTCCAATGAGTCCATTGTTCCTTTAACAGTTTTAGCTCAGACAATAGTTTATAAATCTAATTGTAATCTAATCTAATACTGATGGAATCGTTTACATAATCCATTTTTCCATCAGAATTTTTGAGACAAATTAATCATATTAATTAGTGACGTCACTAGTAATTGAATTTCTCATAATAATCCCATGAAATAATCGTAAATTATTAAGTCTCAATCAACCAGACCTAAATCACGATTTCTCCGATAAAGCGTGGGATATTCAACTACAAATTTTGGTCTATAATAAATCGATGCTAATGAGATTTTCCTGATGAGAATATAGTTATTGGGGCCTAAGTTATTTTTTTTTAATGATGATAAGACGATCGTTCACAAGCTACATGAACTGTGCAATTTGAAAGAGCGAATCAACAATGGTCAAAGAAAAAGGTTTAAGATGTAAAGTTCTTTAATATGTAACGTTTAAAGGACCATGAAAACTCCCTTGTAAACCCCTCTTGTTATTTCAATGGTGACCAAAGAGTTCAAAAACACCCCACTGATGTCGTGTCACAATCTGCTAGCAAATTTGACATAATTCTCAGAGAATGTTTCCATTTTGCCAAGCATATCTCTGCTCTGCGTATTATTAACCCCGAGGAAGTATGACGAATGGGGGTGTGGTTTGGACACGATGTGCGTAGCCGTACTTATTTGGACCATAGACATACTATTAATAGTATGTCTATGATTTGGACACGATCTCTGGTTTCACTCTCTATTAATTTTGATGACGTTATGACGTCTTGACGTCATTTAGTAACAATCTAACCGGAAGTCAAAAAATGTTTCATTTCAATATTTTGAAATTTTAACATTCAAAGGATAAAGACATTTCTGGAAATTTAAAACAATCAAAACTCCTCTGAGCTATTACTACTGTTTATAGAAAAAGTGATATCGAATGGCAAGAAGAGGTAAATCGAATTAGTAACAGATAGAATAAGCGTAGTGAAAACTAAGCCTAGATCTAGTTCTAGGTGTTAAATCTAGAAATATGGGTAAGGATTGAAGACTAGATACATGGGCCAAGGCGTATTTTTGGATATGGGCAAAGCCTTTTTTCTGGGTTACGATCTCCGAATTCTGAAATTCACTTCCTTCTGGCTTGGCTTATCTTGAACAATAATAGGCTAGGCCAAGATCTACCGTAATGCAAGCATCTCTTGAACTTGAGTTCCTACCTCTACTGCTCTAGATCTATCGTAACCATTTCCTTATAGGTGTCAAGTAGCCCCTAACCTTTCCTTATGGACATCCGTCTCCGGTTCACTTACTAAAAGAAAGAAATCCATGATCTGAGGATGGTGTAGCTATATCTCAACATTAATAAGGTTAATTTTAAGTTTTGTGTTATAAAAATTGTCTTGGTGTACTTTCAGGTAGCCGAGCAGACGATTATAACGAACGACGACGAGACAGACGACGACAGATACAAGAATTACAACGAGAAGAAAGAGAAGATCGGAAACAAAATTCTTCTGGCTGCTGTTCCATCATGTGTGAATGTATCGCCACTTGTGGGCGGTTGTTAATCACCGTTTTCAATCTAATCTTTGCTGTAAGTATTTGATACTGGTGTCGTATCGCATCTTGGCAATGCCAAGGTATTACGAAATACATCTAATACATGGACATCGTATAGCACTATTCCATAGCGAATACAGCCAATCAGAGCCAAACACATGTATTTAAATTTTTCTGTCAATGGCTTTGATTGGCTGTATTCATTAGCGTATATACATTGACGTTTTACCACAGTGTAAGCGCTTGCACTACCAAAATCACGTGACCATGTGACAATCTGTAAATAGTGCCGGTAAAAATGGCGAGTATATACTGTATAAGCTTACATGTAGTAGAGCGCTAAAGAATCATTCAAGATTCAAAACAAAGTAAACAAAACTATCATTTCGGTATATTGACAGTGAGTTCAAGATCGCAGTCTTTATGATACTCTCATGTACAAAAGACTGGCAGATTGTGACAAGTTGACATCTGCCGTTCAGGTTTGAACTGTATGAATCGTTAATTATCTGTTTCAGTTAATTGGTATAATTCTGCTGGCTCTTGGTGTAATAGTCAAAGTCAATTCTCCAATACTTGATAACCTTATATCTGCTGCTCAAACACAGTTTCAAAATGCGGTATCAGGGGCAGGATTTAATCTGGACATGTCCCAGTTTGACTTGTATACTCTGGTCGGTGGAATGGCTATTGCATTCATAGCTCTTGGATGCTTCTTCTTTGTTGTCGGAACCCTGGGCGTTCTAGGTGCCTGCTGTAAAGTCAGGATTCTTCTTATTGTGGTGAGTGATTCAAAACTTATAAATTTAGGAATTATTTTCTGCCTTTTCTAAAACTTGTTGATTTAAGGACATGCATTAAAATGTATTCTGCTAATCCATCTATTGAAATATATCAACCTCACGCTAGCCACTTAGCCGCATCTGATTTGCTCTGTTGAAGAAATAAGTCATGTAGGCCAACAACAACATTTAAGGCTATTTTGAATGTGTATTACCATGCTTTCACGTGATAGATCATTGAGTCTTGTTTTATTACTTCTCAAAATTATTATTACAATGTATTCTCTTTATTTTAGTATGTTATAATAGTGATTGTTATTTTACTGGGACAAGTGGCTCTGGTTATCATGGTGTTTGCCTATAGAAGTGTGGTATGTATTTCTATCAGTAGTTCTATAGCACTGTGGTAGGACCTATAATCATAGCAAATTCATAGCGTATTTTAGATCGACTTGACTATAGTAAATGATTTACATCTACCGTTACAATACAACCGTATTTTAGATCGACTTGATTATAGTAAATGATTTACAACTACCGTTACAATACAACCGTATTTTAGGTCGACTTGACTATAGTAAATGATTTACAACTACCGTTACAATACAACCGTATTTTAGGTCGACTTGACTATAGTAAATGATTTACAACTACCGTTACAATACAACCGTATTTTAGGTCGTCTTGACTATCGTAAATGATTTACAACTATCGTTACTATACAACCGTATTTTAGATCGACTTGACTACAGTAAATGATTTACATCTATCGTTACTATAAAACCGCATTTTAGATCGACTTGATTTTAGTAAATGATTTACAACTATCGTTACTATACAACCGTATTTTAGGTCGACTAGACTATAGTAAATGATTTACAACTACCGTTACAATACAACCGTATTTTAGGTCGACTTGATTATAGTAAATGATTTACAACTACCGTTACAATACAATCGTATTTTAGGTCGACTTGACTATCGTAAATGATTTACAACTATCGTTACTTTAAAACCGTATTTTAGGTCGACTTGATTATAGTAAATGATTTACAACTACCGTTACTATACAACCGTATTTTAGGCGGACTTGACTATAGTAAATTATTTAAAACTACCGTTACTATACAACCGTATTTTAGGTCGACTTGACTTTAGTAAATTATTTAAAACTACCGTTACTATACAACCGTATTTTAGGTCGACTTGACTATAGCACAGTAAATGATTTTCAACTACCGTTACCATACAACCGTATTTTAGGTCGACTTGACTTTAGTAAATTATTTAAAACTACCGTTACTATACAACCGTATTTTAGGTCGACTTGACTATAGTACAGTAAATGATTTTCAACTACCGTTACAATACAACCGTATTTTAGGTCGACTTGACTTTAGTAAATTATTTGAAACTACCGTTATTATACAACCGTATTTTAGGTCGACTTGACTATAGTACAGTAAATGATTTTCAACTACCGTTACAATACAACCGTCTTTTAGGTCGACTTGACTTTAGTAAATTATTTAAAACTACCGTTACAATACAACCGTATTTTAGGTCGACTTGACTATAGTACAGTGAATGATTTTCAACTACCGTTACTATACAACCGTATTTTAGGTCGACTTGACTATAGTACAGTGAATGATTTTCAACTATGGTCACTATAAAACTATAATGTTTATATTTTCCAGTTCGACTCGACGATAAAGACTGGCCTGCAAGATGTAATAAAGAATGAATATACAGGAATCAATGGAACCAGTGCTGGAACTCTGGGTTTAAATTTCTTAATGTCGTCTGTAAGTTCTTATATTTCTGTGTTCCTTCCCGTACGAATATTGTCACGAAATTCGCGAAAGTAGTAAGTTCATCTGGTCCATGAGTTGAACACGCCTCATTACAAAACTGCTTTGAAGTTTTCTGCACTAAGGCAATGCGTTTGTAACATTTTCGTCCCTTGGCACCAACCTTGTTACTTTACGACTTATGTTCAAGACTATGTTGTGAATGTTGGTGAAAGGGACACAGAAGATATGTCTGAAACTCAGCATCCCCGCAGCCAACACTCCTGACTGCAGTAAATATGTACAAATTGTTTATTTTCAATCATATCTATTTCAGCAACAATGTTGTGGTATTGACGACTACAACGATTTCTCCGTTGATAATGCTCCCAACTGGCAGTTCAGAAATTACAGCGGCTACACGCTAGAAACACCCATGATCTGCTGTAAAAATACAACTGATGTGCCTGACTGTGCCCGATCTCCTAAAGCTACTGATTCAGCCCATAACAACTACAATATCGTAAGTACAGTGTCAACTCTTTTATGATAACCCCTAAAGGATGACGCAATGGCCCAGTAAAAAACACCGAGTATCGGTATTATTTGATTGCCTACTTATCTGTTAGTGTCTATGAAAAAGACAAAACAAAAGACACATATAAATCTCTCGACGAACATTATCGCTTTAACTATTAACATCATCGGCAGATGGAGGACAAATTGCGAGACATTGGGCCGGGAGTGTCAGTATTGAGAAAACATTGATAGCCTATTTTAGGAATCCGTAATAGAAATTAAGTGCGTTTTGTTTTTCTTTATGCGCAATACAAGATACAAGCTCATACGTCACTGTTCAATATTTCGTTTTGTGTTTTTTTCCAGGGCTGTTATGATAAACTATGGGAACTTATATTTACGTACAGAGATATCAGTATTGGTGTGGCCTGTGGTATTTGTGGTATACAGGTAAGAGTTGTTTCCCTTCTGTACTAATTAATTCCCTTCGTTACAAATACTATATAAAATTTCAATCATTTGGTGTACAGATCCGTAACGTTTCAACTAATTACCGTGGTAAAAATGTCATAGTTTTTAATGAACACGACAATTTACGTACATATACATGTATTATGTTCCCCTGGACACCATTTCTCAAAAATGTAACGTTTCAACAAATTACCTTGGTAAACAATGTCATATGTATGAAAGTAATCTTCTTGTATAGATTTTAATGAACACGATAATTTATATATTATATTCCCTGATGTCATTATTATGAATTGTAGGTGTTGTTGATAATATTTGGAATCAGTATTTTATGCCAGATAGATAAAGATAAAGTTGGTGCCATCTAGTACAGGTTCGTTCAATTTCTTATTAAAAGATGAAATCAAGCAGCAATTTCATCACAATCTGGCAGACCTACTATCTGTCTATATACAGAACATTTAATTATAATTGACTATCACTATTAGACAATTATTATACCCTCTTTCTTATGATTTCTATACAGCATTAGTTGAAATAATTGCTAGTGATATGCTATCTTCACGATGTCAAGCAATGGATCTTCTTATATCAGCGATTTGATTGGATTTTACGCCAGCGAATACAGCCAATCCGAGTCCTTGACAGAAAGACTGTAAACATTACGGCTTTTTTCACACTTTTTTTCAAACTTCTGTGAAACAAGAATGGTGGCAATTGAAGTGAAGGTATAAGACGAAGTTCGAAATATCTTGACAATTGCGAAGATGGTCATATGCCAGTTTATTGAATTATTAATATTGGACTATAGTTGATTTCAGAAAAAATGTTGATCTCCACTATTCATTTTATTTCGATTCTCATTTCCTTTAAAACTTCGTTATGTATTCCGACATTTCTTCTTTTCCAGCCGTCCAGACCATATCGATGCAGAATTCCAGTTTATAACAATCAAACCGAACCATAAAGAAGCAATATTTGTGAAATATGTAAATTTATTTATTTTATTAGTTTTGATTGAATTGGTGCATTTAATTTTGCTGTCTCTGAGATATATTTAGATTGGAACTATTTTATACCTGTAACTTTTATCCTATTTTATTTAATGTCCGGTTTGATTTGTTCACTGCAGTCTGAGTAGAGCTTGTATTCTGTAAGAAATGGAGTTATTGACCTTGATCTTGGACGTAGGATTTTCAAGATTTCTAGTGTCATTGTAAATTGAATTACAAAGATATTTTATACAGAAGAGAAAGAAAAACTACAAAAATGAATTCATTGATTAACTTAAAAATATAAGTTCAAACACTATTTAATTTAAATGATTTAAAAGATGAAAACAAGTTCTCAATGCCATTATCATACAATCAAGCTCGGCATCTTCTATATATTAATTTACCAGTGACGATGCGATGATATTTGATGGTCCAATCTGAAGAGTTGAATAGACGAGTTGACGAGGTATGATGGCTGGTGCGGCTTATTCAATACAACAGTATCAAATACACCTGGTAGGGGTGCGGACCAGTGGCGGAGCCAAATGAGAGGGAGGGGGGGGGGGGGGGGGGGCAGAGGGGCCCCGAAAGCAAGTTTTTCGGGCAAAAATCTAATAACTAAATTAGAAATTCGGGTAATCACAGATATTTGCGCCCCCCTCGGACGTAAACCTGGCTCCGCCACTGGTACGGACACGATTCGACAAGCCGCAGCGAATGATCGAAACAGTAGAAAATAGAGGAAGCTTCGGTCAGTACATCGTGTAAGGGTGCGAACACAACGTGGACATTTCTATTTTCTGCTATATTGATAACATCAAATCGCAAATCTCATCGTACACCGTATCTCGTCTATTCTCCCTCGTTTATTTTCTTGTTAGAAGGCACTTTTTGATGCTTAGAATCCTGTCTTATCGCTCTTTTAGTGGAGGTGCGGTTTTTAGATTTTTTCTCGCTTTTGACATTCCGGAAATCTGAATATTTTTATTATGCTTTGTAATTTGATATTTATAACAATCTATGCAGCTCAATGCTGGTTATCAGCTTTAAATTCGTCCATAAAGAAAAAGGTCCCATTTTTTAAGCTATAGTCGGTCAAAGATAATATTATAGTCGAGAAAGATATCAGGTTTCAATAGCAACGATGTGAAATAAAAATCTTAAGGTTGCTAAACGAAGGACATAAACAGGAAAAGTAAACTGTGTTGATTACTACTAATGTACTATACCTAAAATTCTAGTGGACTACTGGTTATACATCGAGCACTGCACACATATCTTTGCTTGGTCAGGCAAGCTTCTAGAAATAAACACAAGTAGTTTTCTTTACTTTAAAGTAGCAAATAGGGTTTCATTTCCCACTTAAAGTGCAAATCCTCGAGGAACGGTGTCTCAGTGTACACATTATCTATAAAATGAAATAGAAGCCAAAAACAGCAAAAACATCTGGATCAGTAGTGTCTGTCTCGTCTATTACCTTCTTTTATACTCGGTTAAACCTTAATTCTTCGTCTATTCGTATCTTTCTGTTTAAAATGTTTAAAACAGAAATCTTTAACCGACTATAGCTATATCTATATATGAATATTTTGAATACATATCGAATTTTATTATAATACGCTTGATGTGTCCAGAACTTTATTTTTTATTTACAGTGTATATTTTTGTAAATATATTCAGAGAAGTATTTTGAATGTGGCTTGGATCTGTATTTGTAATCTGATCTAAGGATGGCCACACAGCTTCCTCAGTTAGAGGGGGCTGGCGGGGGCTATTTCAAAACTTTAAAAAAAGACCTTATTTGATTTATAAGAATTAGGTGAAGTTTAGTCTCTGTAGCGCTGTGACAAATACGCCTCTTGTTTCGAGGTAAAAATATTTTTGATTTATAAATAAAGTATATTTTATTATAGGTAGCGATAGGGATATAAAATAATCATATTCTACTGTTCAATGAGATTATTTTGTCTTCTATCAAAGGTCACAAATGATCCAAGCCATATTAGTCTCTATGAAGCTCAAAGTTTGTCATAAAGAAACTAAAAACTTATATAGAATCGTCTTGCTTTTACCTGATCAACCGTGATTTAATACTACAAGCCCATTCCACAACCTTAGACCGTAACTTTTGAGTCGAAGCAAGTAGCACAGTAGAACTGCCATCTGTATAAGTAATGCTTACAAAAGTGAAAACAATAATAGTTTACATTGGTAGCTGAAATTGGGCTCTATCATGTAATAGGCTTTCTCCCTTTTTTATCAAGAGAAATGAGCTACTTGGGAATAAATACAATTCGTAATAATTTGACTTTGTGAAGATATATTATTTAAAACATGGGTTGATTTGTTTACTTGTCTATATTTATTATGGAATGATTCTATAGACTTATTTTATTTTATGGATATTCTAAATGTGTAATTTACACCCACAAAACTGTCAAATTATTATTAGGCATCATTCTATAGGCCAAGAATATATTATATGTAGGGCAATACCAAATATTCTTAAATTATTAATTACACCTATAAGGGGTCAAATTATAAGGCATAATTATACAACCTCATAATATATTATACATGTATGTAGTGTGATATCAAATATTCATAATTTGTAACTTACACTTCTAACGGTCAGGTTATGTTAGGCGAATACGTAACACGTAAAACCGTTCAATGGATAGAGATTTCAATATGTATATTAAGGTTTATAAATCAATAATAAAAAATAAAAACACGACAATAGAGGGTCAAAAAACAACCATTCACTCTGCTATAAACAATTTTTTTAATACATTAAATTTGCTCCAAAATACATTTATTCAGATTACCGTACACATCTTAATAATTTCAAATAAAATGTATTCTTTTCAATGTACAATACACTTCCTTAGTAATTTCAAACAGAGCTCAATCTCCTTTTTGTCTTTAGTTATCCTAATAGCTTTATCTAGGTACACTTTCACTGCACCTGTAGACTGTTGTGTTAGTGTCTTAACTCATCATGAACTCCAAAAAATGTCATTATTCCAGGTCGTACAATATAGTTTCATAGTGACCTTAACGCATACAATAATCTGTATCTACAATCTAGGTGGAAAAGCCCACTGACTAATACAATAATCTGTATCTACAATCTAGGTGTAAAAGCCCACTGACTAATACAATAATCTGTATCTACAATCTAGGTGTAAAAACCCACTGACTAATATAATAATCTGTATCTACAGCTTGGTGTAAAAGCCCACTTACTAATACAATAATCTGTATCTACAATCTAGGTGTAAAAGCCCACTGACTAATATAATAATCTGTATCTACAGTCTAGGTGTAAAAGCCCACTGACTAATATAATAATCTGTATCTACAGCCTAGGTGTAAAAGCCCACTGACTAATACAATAATCTGTATCTACAATCTAGGTGTAAAAGCCCACTGACTAATACAATAATCTGTATCTACAATCTAGGTGTAAAAGCCCACTGACTAATACAATAATCTGTATCTACAATCTAGAAGTAAAAGCCCACTGAATAATACAATAATCTGTATCTACAATCTAGGTGTAAAAGCCCACTGACTTATATAATAATCTGTATCTACAATCTAGGTGTAAAAGCCCACTGACTAATATAATAATCTGTATCTACAATCTAGGTGTAAAAGCCCACTTACTAATACAATAATCTGTATCTACAATCTAGAAGTAAAAGCCCACTGAATAATACAATAATCTGTATCTACAATCTAGGTGTAAAAGCCCACTGACTTATATAATAATCTGTATCTACAATCTAGGTGTAAAAGCCCACTGACTAATATAATAATCTGTATCTACAATATAGGTGTAAAAGCCCACTTACTAATACAATAATCTGTATCTACAGTCTAGGTGTAAACGCCCACTGACTAATACAATAATCTGTATCTACAATCTAGATGTAAAAGCCCAGTGAATAATACAATAATCTGTATCTACAGTCTAGGTGTAAAAGCCCACTGACTAATACAATAACCTGTATCTACAATCTAGGTGTAAAAGCCCACTGACTAATATAATAATCTGTATCTACAATCTAGGTGTAAAAGCCCACTGGCTAATATAATAATCTGTATCTACAATCTAGGTGTAAAAGCCCACTTACTAATACAATAATCTGTATCTACAGTCTAGGTGTAAAAGCCCACTGACTAATATAATAATCTGTATCTACTGACTTATATAATAATCTGTATCTACAATCTAGGTGTAAAAGCCCACTGACTAATATAATAATCTGTATCTACAATATAGGTGTAAAAGCCCACTTACTAATACAATAATCTGTATCTACAATCTAGGTGTAAAAGCCCACTGACTAATATAATAATCTGTATCTACAATCTAGGTGTAAGAGCCCACTGACTAATATAATAATCTGTATCTACAATCTAGGTGTAAAAGCCCACTGACTAATACAATAATCTGTATCTAGAGTCTAGGTGTAAAAGCCCACTGACTAATACAATAATCTGTATCTACAGTCTAGATGTAAGAGCCCACTTACTAATACAATAATCTGTATCTACAGTCTAGGTGTAAAAGCCCACTGACTAATATAATAATCTGTATCTACAATCTAGGTGTAAAAACCCACTGACTAATACAATAATCTGTATCTACAATCTAGGTGTAAAAGCCCACTGACTAATATAATAATCTGTATCTACAGTCTAGGTGTAAGAGCCCACTTACTAATACAATAATCTGTATCTACAATCTAGGTGTAAAAGCCCACTGACTAATACAATAATCTGTATCTACAGTCAAGGTGTAAGAGCCCACTTACTAATATAATAATCTGTATCTACAGTCTAGGTGTAAAAGCCCACTGACTAATACAATAATCTGTATCTACAATCTAGGTGTAAAAGCCCACTGACTAATACAATAATCTGTATCTACAATCTAGGTGTAAAAGCCCACTGACTAATACAATAATCTGTATCTACAATCTAGGTGTAAAAGCCCACTGACTAATATAATAATCTGTATCTACAATCTAGGTGTAAGAGCCCACTTACTAATACAATAATCTGTATCTACAGTCTAGGTGTAACAGCCCACTGACGAATACAATAATCTGTATCTACAGTCTAGGTGTAAAAGCCCACTGACTAATATAATAATCTGTATCTACAATCTAGGTGTAAAAGCCCACTGACTAATACAATAATCTGTATCTACAATCTAGGTGTAAAAGCCCACTGACTAGTATAATAATCTGTATCTACAATCTAGGTGTAAAAGCCCACTTACTAATACAATAATCTGTATCTACAGTCCAGGTGTAAAAGCCCACTGACTAATATAATAATCTATATCTACAATCAAAGTGTAAAAGCCCACTTACTAATACAATAATCTGTATCTA